TTATAGTACAGTTGTATTATTAGTTCAGCTTACATTTTTTGGACTAAACATCGGACTATTACATGGATTAGATATGGAGTCCTATCGTACCCTTTAAATAAGGCCTAAAGTGACTAATGATGCAAGTATACGATCGAGGGCCATAGAAAGACTATGGTATACACTTTTTAAACGGTGTGTACTATATATACTTTATAATTATAGAAAAAAAAACATAATTCTATACTTTTTAAATCATAACTAAAAATTAAAAATAAAATAGACATAATTAAAAATCTCAAAATGATGTCATGACTAAAAAACAAAATTAGTCGTAACTAAAAAAGAGAATAATGTAATTAAGGATGCATATACTGAAGAGAAAAGCTAAGGATCATGAAAGTCTTTTCATGAAAATGATCATGAAAGAGTTATGATCTTTGGATTACCTTGATTAATGTGTGGTGCTTTATTCTGAGTGTAATCTAAGGGTCACAAAGTTTTCATGATTATTTTTATGAAAGATTTTTCATGATACCTAGCATTGCTGTATACTGAAGGGAGCTGGATGCCATTTCTAGAGGATAGTAGGAGGGTTTCAAGAGTGTGGGGGGGTATTCTTTCGGTCGCTAGCTGTAATCCACAATTGGGGAATTTCTATCAGTCCAATTACAAGATTGTGGTTGGAAATGGATCTCGAATTAGATTTTGGGTTGATAAGTGGGTTGGTGATCAGTGTTTGAATGCTATGTTTCCAAGACTCTATTTGTTGTCGGTTGAGAATGAAGTTTTTCTTCGTCTGCTTGTGGAAAGGAAAGGTTCTTCTGAAGATTGGTTGCTGGTTTTCAGAAGACCATTAAGAGCTTGGAAGGTAGCTGAGGTTGGAAGGCTTATTAAACGCAGCCAGGATTTCAGTGGCTGAGGCTGATGACTTTTTAAGATGGATTGCATCCCCTGTAGGTAAGTTCAGTATTGCTTCCATTTATAATAGAAATAAGGGAGAAGTTTTGTCTATTGTTCCATCACTGCTATGGAACAATATCTCTCCGCCTAAAATGCAATTCTTTGGATGATTGGCATAGAAGGGTAAGGTTAAAACAGTGGACTATCTTCAAAGAATTGGTGTGCTCAATGGGAGTGTTCGCAACATGTGTGTTTTCTGCAATACTGATATTGAGTCGGTTGATCATGTGCTTTTGTTGTGTTCGCCTATTTGGAAGGTGTGGTCGAGTCTAGTGGATTGGTTGGGTGTTCAATGGGTGGTGTCTGGGTCAGTTGACGGGCTTCTTAAATGGTGGGTTGGGTTTAAATTTAAGAAGTTTGAGTGGTCTGTATGGAAAGCTATTCCGATGGCTTTGCTATAGTCCATTTGGAATTGTAGAAATAAATGTGTTTTTTCAGGTATACAACCTAAGCCGGAAGTGCTTAGTATGCAGGTAAAAGTTAGGATTGCATTATGGATTAAGTATCACCATCCCAAATGTTGTTTGTCAGTGCAGGAGTTAATATTTAATTTACCACAAATCAGGTTTCTTGCAGTACGAGGGGTGTGGTATCTTGAGTTTTTTTTGTTGTAGGAGCTGCTGCAAAGGTGGTTGGGTGTGCTGGTGCTGTTGATCTGCTTAATGTTTGAATATATGGCAGTATGCATGGTGGCTGGGTTTGGTAGAAGGCTATAGGAGGATGCTCTCTAGTTCTAGGTGGTAGGGTGGGTTGGTGGCTCTGTTTGGCACTATTATTGGGAATGGGTTGGGAGTTTTTTTTTTATAATGTTGGGGTTGCTGCTTTGGTTTTGTAAGTTTACTTTTATTTGTTTTGTTTCCTCTCTTGTTCCATTGATTCTCATCGACCTGTGATGGTGTGCTAGCATATGATTGTGCGTCATTCTCGGTACCAATTTAATTAGGATCATTTAAGCCACTTTGATACTCTTTGCACTCATCCGTTTGCTTTTGATCTACTCTGTTGATTCATCAATAAAGCTTTTTCTTTCTGCTAAACAAAATATATATATATAGTAAGGGGTGTGCATAATGGAATTCTCCTATATAGATAAAGATATATATTGTCTCATTCGCTTTTGAAGTAATTTTACGAGGTTTTTTTTAAGGTCCCTGATATTATGATTTTATAGTATAAAGTACATCAAATATTTTCATAATATCTAAGGTCCCTCAACATCAATCCAAAGAAATTTCAATCCTAGAGAAAATTGGTCCAGAGAAAATTCACGTCACAGAGAAAATTAGTCTAGAGAAATTCTGGGAAGAATTTCTCTGGACCAACCTAGAGAAAATTTAGTTCAAAAACCAGAGAATTTCTCTGGTTTTAACCCATAGAAAATTCAGTTCAAAAACTAGAGAATTTCTCTGGTTTCAACTTCAAATGAAACAAAATACTCATAACCTACCAGTTTTCAATATACAACAAATGGCATATTCATTCGATATATAAGATCATTCAATGCAGTTTACAGGTTAACAAAGAAAAATAATAATAAAAAAGAAAGGACTGGCAGATTCATATCAAATCTCCTAATCATTAGTTACCACTTCCATAATTACAAAGTAGCAAGTTTCTTGAAGGCCAATATCAGATATTGTTCCCTAAATTCTGAAGCCACGCTTTTATGTTGACAGCCCCAAGTTTTCACCTTTGCAACAAGCAATGGGCTTCAGGTCCATCCAAAGCTCCATAAAATATTAATCACTGCAAAATTCATTATTAGTAGCACTTTGTCTAATCATATTTGAAAAAACTCCTTGGTTCCTTCCAAAGATAGGACACTTGAGAAAGTTGAAAGTTCAATACACAACTCAGTCAACACTTAAATGATCACTTCCCTTCTTTTTGGGCCAAAAAAATGATTTTTTTTTTTTTTTTTTTTTTTTTGTTGTTGCAGGCATTGATTAACTGCATGCATAAACAGACACATTTGGCTGCTTCTGTACCACCAACAGATCATGCATAAGCCCAGAATAAAAGCACACACAAGAACATTTTTTAAGCGAAGGCCAACTGATGTACTAAGGCAACAAGTACTAAATAGGCACGGTACCGACTTCCCTCTATGTATCATGCACACACGCGTACACACAGTTTTGCATAGTTAGGAGATGACGAGAATGTCCACCAAGTCCCAAGTCAGAGGAACTGCTTTGTCTATTAGGAACTTTATCACCCACATAATCATTGCAAATTTGCAAGGTGAGAAGCTATTAAACAGAGAAATTTGAATTTTCTCTAGGTTGAACTCAGAGAAATTTTGAATTTTCTCTGGAACTATAAAACTTTGATTTGATCAATTTATCTTTGGTTCTACTGCTACTGATTCAATCACAATTTCCCGCACAAACAAATTAATAGTTTTTCAATCACAATTCAATCACAATTTCATGGACTCTAGAGAAATTTCAAATTTCTCTGCCGTGGGTTTGATCCTCCACCATTGTTGCTACTGTTGTAAGTGGCTGTACTGATGTTTCAAATTTCCATTTACTCTTGCCATTTCACACCAATCAACAGAGAAATTCTGCTCTGAATTTATCTCCAGAGAAATTTTGAATTTCTCTAGAACTGATAGTGATGAACAAAAGACAAGGAAAAAAAAGAGATACGAGAGGCTAGCCATGAAAAAAGTAATTGTTTTGTTTCAAGTTCTAGTGATGGAGTATAATGACTATGTTGTTGCTTATGTGGCCGTGACAAATCAGCAACCTCACTGCAGACTCCAATGGTCTGAGATTGGGTTCTGGTGAAGTTGTTTCAAACGGGAACGACCTTGACATTGTCTGCCTTGACATCGGGCCACAGAGGTTGAGGAAGACGACGAAGGACAAGGCGGTTCGTGGCGGAACCAAGCATGGCCAATCCGGTTGGGAGGCCGTAGACACGCTCCGTTCCAAGCCCTAGCCTCCGGTGCCGGACTGTGACAACAGCGACTGTTCCGACGCAATCGATCACCTTCGACTTTCTCTCTACTCAAATCAAGCTTGCTCACCGCCTCTGTATGTATGTATGTACATGTCTGTGTGTGTGCGTGAGAGTAGACAAAAAGAAGGGGGCTGAATTTCTCTGTGATAGATGGGAGGGACTTTAGACATCAAAAAATAATTTTGTGGATCTCTTCCATTATGAAAAGTGGGAGAGGGACCCTAAACCAATTTTCCCTAATTTTAGTACTACTCTTCATTTTTCACTAGTTAAAATATAAATAAGATATGTAATTTATTTTTCTTAATCATTTTTTATTTATTTATATAGCACTGCTCTTTTTTTTTTTTTTTATCTTTACAAATTATTTAAAGAGCCTCCCAAGAATCTTCAAATGTAACTAACCTTGTTTTTTTTCCCATTAAAATAACTATTATAGTAACTAGTTGAGTTAGTTGAACAGAACTTCTAAATATTCATGAATTAGTCGAGTTCAAGCTGCACTTAAATAATCGAGATCGGCTCGTAAAATATTTGATAAACTTGAGTTTGGCTTGAACCAACTCGATTACGTAAACGAGCCGAGCTAGAGCTCGAGCTCGAGCTTGAACTTGAGCTTAATTAAAAATAAAAAAAAATACACAAAAAAAATTAAACTTAAATTAATTTACTTATTAAGATAAAAAAAATAAAAAATTATGAACAAAATATTTAAGAATGTTTATATTAACAATAAATTTTATCAATCAAATATGTAAATTTACACAAACATCAAACATAAATAGAAAAACAAAATATATTATAATTACGAATTAAACTTTATTGAAACAATTTGTATAAATATATATATATATATATATATTTATTTGTGCACATTAAAACTTAATAGATATCGTAATTTCCAAAATCAAAATTGAGGGCTCTTTTTCCTTTCTTGTTTAGTTTAACCGCCTAAAGCCCTAGGGTTTCCAAATGCTATTGTCATATATAATACAATATATTTTAGACAAATCAAATCAAATTGTTTTGCTCACACGTAATTCATTTTGATTCGGAGATTTTTCTTGGGTCGCACTCTTTAATTCTCTATGGAGGAGGTAGAGAGGACCACCAGCAGCACCACCACCACCATGGATGACTTATGTCCTGACCTTCTTGAATCCATCCTCTGTCGACTTCCTTTGATTTCTCGCGCAAGATCCAAGTGCGTCTCCAAGACTTGGTGCAGTCTCATCACCTCTCTCCGCCACTCCTTCCCTCCTTCCACCTCCTCTGGCCTTGTCATCTTCTTGATTTTTCTGCTTGCAATGATTTCTATAAGGTCTTGGGCAGGATCCCCGATCCCAACACCTTCCACCTCCTCTGGCCTTGTCATCTTCCTGACAAACAACATCAAAAACGAGCCCAATAACCTCCATCGAACATTCTTCATCAAAAACCAAGACCATTCCCAAACTTTCACTCTTCAATGCTCTACCAAACACAACCTTCCATGGCTCGTCGATTCCTGCAATGGGTTGCTTCTTTATGCCAAGAACGATCGTAATCATAACTGGTCTTACTATATCTCCAGCCCTGTTCTTGATCAATTCATTGCTCTCCCTCCGAGGCACAAACCATTTATCTTGGCTCGTGAAAGTCTAGCTTTTAATGGGTTGAATTCAAATTCAAATTCCAAACACAACCACCACCACTTCAAGGTGATTTGTTTCTTCTTTAACGAAGTTGATGCAGAGTCAGGGAAAATCAATTGCCAAACTTTCTCTGCACAAACAGGGGAATGGAGAGAACATGAAGCTCCTTTAAACAACTCTAATCTATTGCTAGAAGATGGGTTTCGGCGTTCTGATTGTTTCAGTCCCAGTGTTTACAGCAAGGGTAGATTGTACTGGATATGGAGTCTATGCATGTTGGTTTACGATGACAAAAGAGAATTCTTTAAGCTTGTTTTATTACCAAAGAGCAAGTCTCGCAGGAATTTTAATTATGTGTTGTCTCTACAGTTGTGGGAATCTGAGGGGCGAATTCATTATTGTGAACCAATTGAGGAAGGATTTCGATTGTGGATTTATATGGACGATGGCGATGAAAATTCATATGATTATGATTTCAAGAACTGGCAAGCAAAGACGACGATCGTGTTAGAGCGAATTAGATTGGGTTTGAGTTGGCCGTGTGCGTTCAATGAAGAATTGCAGGAGTTGTATATGCAGGTGCCACCAGGAACCATTTTTTCTTACAGTTTTGAGACTCGGAAATTGGCAAAGTTGTGTTGCTATGGTAAGCCTGGTAAAGATTATTCCATTAGCTATATTTATCCATTCATGTTCAACTCTGCCAATTTGATTCCAAGGAACTAATTGAATTGATGATGGCCTATAGGGATATATAAGTAAATATAGTTCAAGGTACATATATAGCTGAAAGAAAATTCAATTGTGTAATGGTGGTGAGTGGATTGCAAACTATATTGGTGTTAAAGATCAATAATAAGACTGATCCATGCAACAAATCAAAAGTTAAAATCTTGAAATTCTTGCATATTTTTGTATAGAATTTTCATTTTTTTGGAGTTGTAGTTGGTTGACAATGTAACAAGTGAACTCTACCATAGATCTTGAATTAATGAATTCCCTAAAGTAGTTTTTTATTTTTTTGGCTACTGATATATCGAATGAGAATGTTGCTTGCAAAAACTTGTTAGTCGCCATATACTACTTATTGGCGACTAAAAAAATTTAGTAGCTACTAAATTGTTTTAGTCGCCATATACTACTTATTGGCGACTAAAAAAATTTAGTAGCTACAGTATCAACAAACACCGACTAATACAATTTTTAGTCGTCAAAAGGTTAACTTTGGGCGACTAAATTCCTTTTAGTTGTCAAATTTGGTTGCCAAAAGTGCATTTTCTTGTAGTGTAAATATAGTAGAGAAGGATTGACTGTGTTTCTCCTAGTCACCAAACGGTACCGTTTTAATTAATAACAATTGCGACATTTAAAAAACGCCGTTAATTTTGAAAAAAAAGTGACGTTTAACAAACGCCTTTAATTAAACGCCATTAAATCTCTAAATTCTTGTAGTGCTGGAGGAAAAAAAGGACACTTTAATGTTAAAATCAAAAAGATTTCTGACTTGGAAGCTTGAAATGTTGGCGATGGAGGGTCATACTACTACACATTTTACAAATAAAATGTTTTTGTAAAATTTATTTAGATTTGACTTTATAGTATATCAAATTTGATTTTACACTGTAAGTGATTTTTCAAAAGTATTTTTTCAACATACTTAACATTTTCGTAATTAATTTCAAGCTATTTCAAAGGCTGTCAGAAGTTAGTAGGTTGGCTTTTTTCGGATTTTGTACACATTTTTTTATTTTTATTTTTATTAATACTCAACTATTTTAATGATTCAATTTCAAATTATTCTTAATTTTGACAGTTTTAACCATACTCTATCAATACCCTTCCAAACTTTTCCTATTAAAATCGAGTTTGACAAAACACAATCGGGTTGAGTAATTTTGCCATTCCTAATGCCAAGGTACCAAAAAATAGATTTGTTCACGTACCTTTTGATTGTGTGAACAATATACACTTCAATTAGTTCAAAGTAATGGACCCAATATCCAAAAAGTATATTGCCAGCACCTAAATGTGTAAATCACACTATTTTGTACCAATCACAAAATATGTATTTTTCACGCATTCAAGTAATGTGCGAACAAAATCCGACTCAAGGCACTCCCTTCTCAAAATTTTATAGGCTGCGAAGAGCAATTTGATAAAAAAGTGCAGAAAAATCCAATCCTTCCATCTAATATTTATCAAATTAAGGGAGAATCAATTATTTATTTATTTATTTTTTTCTCAAATTTGAAATTGATGAAAAATTAAAAAGATGAAGTATTGGAGATAAATTTTTTCCATCAAATTTGATGAGAAGTAAAATTTGGGATAAGAGAAAAAAAAAATTAATTTTGATGAAAATTTGATGAAATAATTGGAATAATACATATCAAATCAAATTTTATACTTAAATTTGAATTCAAAATAGATGAAAAAATTGGTGAACCACAATCTACAGGATTACTTACTTTGACATGTCCACTAAAACCATCTCCATTTGGGAAGAGGAATGGTTCATCCTCCAAATGTACAAGAAGTATATGAAAATATAGAATGACCTCCATAACACTGTTCATTTTTTTATGAGTACTACTAATAGCACCATAGTTTTTGCTTTGGACTCCTACCATTTAATTATTTTTTTTTTATCCCATCAGACAATTCCAATTTTGTCATCTTCCCTTGCTTCTCAAAATCCTAACCCTAATCTTTCCTACTTACCAGCCCCTAACTCCGACCACAAATAATCCTCAATTTCGGTACCACCCTTGCCACTACCTAAACGGCCCCAACCCAATCCTCACTCTTCACCGCCCCCAATCTTCTTCCCTCAACGCCCTAACCTCTTCCCTTGCTAGACCTAATTCGCATAAATTAAGGCTGTTTTTAGCTAGACCAAAATTGAAATTCTGCAACACCAATATAGTTAGACTAATGGAGCATGATAATGTCATCTTATAGAAAGTTCACAACTTCGATGAGGTTCGTAACTTGTAGTAGGTTCATCTTGTAGTTGTGAGTTTTGCAAACACACAAAACAAAAAATAATGGTTCGACATTTGTTTGGTACTGAACTCCTGAACATATATAAAGAAATCAATAAACTCCAATCAAATTAGAGGTAGCAATTCGACATGGCCTAACTGAACTAAACAATTGCCAAACAAAATGGGTTTGTTCAGCCAAACAGTTTTGGGAAAATAATTATATTCCGATAGTCCAGTGTCGAACAACACTCAGACCAATTCACAAGCAAAGGTCCACGGAGTCAACATTAATGAACAAAATTCAAAATAATCATACTTAAAACAATTGACAATAAATTTATATAAAAAATGTGGGTTGAAGGTTGGAGAAGTCTGTGGTTTTAGCTAATTAATATTTGAAATTCTCCATTTCCAAGTAAAATAAATTTTTAATAAAATATAACCATCATAACAAAATAAAACAAAAAATATATAAATTTTTACAATTTTATTTGACAAGGTGCTATTTTTTTTTTTTGATATATATGAACCATTAAACCATTTATCATTCATTTGGTTTGAGTGAGAGAGAGACAGACCGAGAGTGAGAGAGAACCTGGGAGGATGCGGCGGTGGTGGTCCTGATTTGTGGTGATGGCAGTGGCAGTGGCAGTGGCGATGGCAAGCGGCGATGGTCTGCGTTGAGGTGAGGTTGGTGAGGTTTGGTGCTGACAGAATATGTGTGAGAGAGAGAGCATCAGATGTGTAAACATAAACAGGCACCAACATTTATTCATTTCCCTCTAAAATTTCATTATACCTTTAGCGACAAAACTACGAATTTGTCAGCAAATAGTAGCAAATGTTATTAACAGCAACCAAACCATTAGTCGCCAAAAGTGAATATTGACTGACTAATTTCCTGAGAGCCAAAGACTAATGGTAAATATGTCTGTTTTAGGCGACTAAATGGCCTTTTGTCTTCAATAATTACTAAATACCAACTAAAACATGATTTTTAGTAGCCTAAAATGTAGACTTACACCGACTAACATTTTTTTAGTCAGCTACTAAATTGTTTTAGTTGCCATATATTGGCGACTAAAACAATTTAGTAGCTACAGTATCAACAAACACCGACTAATACAATTTTTAGTCGTCAAAAGGTTAACTTTGGGCGACTAAATTCCTTTTAGTTGTCAAATTTGGTCGCCAAAAGTGCATTTTCTTGTAGTGTAAATATAATAGAGAAGGATTGACTGTGTTTGGTTTCAATGTTTTGAAATGTGAATTCAGAAAACTCAAACCAAACAAGCTGTTTACGTTCCTAAATAATTTTGATTTCTAATAAATGTAGTTATCAAATAGTTCCTAATTAAATTTAATTTCTAATGAATGTAGTTATCAAATAAATTTTTTTATCATATACCCAAAAAAAAAATAAAAAAATAAAAAAATCCAAGCCCTTTTGATAGAGTAATGGGTGGATGGGACCATCACCCTCTTCATAGTGTCGCCCCTTGGAGGAGAAGTTATTGGTTGATCTTGGGTATTAGTTCACATCATTCATTGAGAGACAAGTATTCTATTGTCTCCAAAAAAGACAAGTGTTCCATTATTTGTAAAAAATAAACCGAAATGTGATAAGTCCTACTGATTTAACCAATAACATGTCAAGACCCGAACCTGCTCCTAAAAGTTTGGATCATAACCGGCCAGTAACCCGTAAATTACCGAAGGTTTCAAATGATCATACAAAATATTTATGCTAATAGGGGCATATAATAATGAGAAGTCCATTGAGCTATGCCAATCATGAGCAAAATTATAAAGATAACCTCATAGCACATCAATAGATTTGCATGCCCAAGCAAAAATATAAGTGCCACAAGAAATTTGCACATATTGTTTACAAACCCAAGACCATAATGGCAAAAACAAAATAAGATCCAGGTGCGATGTGAGTCAAAGACAAAACTCCATCTCGGAGGCATGACTCGATTGGGTCACAAAATAGCACCTGAAGCTGACTCTAGGGGTGTGCTCCATGCTGTTGATCACCTAAATGAGCATACATAATATTGGGTGAGCGAAACTCAATGAGTAATAACATAGTAAAGCAGTGCAAATAGATGATCATAAGGTTCGCACAATATCCATAGTCATATAACAAGTGGCCTTGAACCCAATCATATAACAAGTGGCCTGAGGCCTAATCATATAATAAGCGGCCTCGGACCCAATCATATTGAACATGTCATATAACATTAGTCAAATTTCTTTATTTCTGTCAATTCATAATGTCAGCACCATTCACCATTCACCATTCATGGTTCGAGGTACACAATAAAGAGCATATATGTATAATATTATTACTCACAGTGTGTTTGATCTCGTGGCGTCTCTTTTGCCCCATGACCTACACAAACATTTCACGCACACATTCGATAAATCATTTCTTTCAATTTGTACACTTATCTTTCATAATTCACAACCTTCCCTAATGAGTTTTTAATCATCATTTCACTCCCAAAAGGGTTTAAATATGGTTGAGAATGCATTCCGAAGGTCGAGGTACCAACACGAGAAAAAAAGGTTTCCTCCCCTGCCTGGCTGTACATGCGGGCGGCCCAATTGCTCGAGCAGTTTGGCTCAGCTCGTGCAGAGGCTCGAGTCGCTTGAGTGCACAAAATGGTTTGGTCCAGGCATGGTTCATGGGCTGATCGTGAAGAGCCCATGGCCGCACGAGCAGTCTGGGAC